ATAAATCTCCAAACTAAAAACTTTAAAAGATAGATAACACGAGGTCCCCAGAAGTGTAGTAACAAAAACAAAAAAAAATGTGTGTGTTTATGAGAGAGAGAGAGAGAGTGCAGATGAAAAGAGGACAGGGGAGGGAGAGAGGGAGGGAGAGTTAGCATGTGTGGACATGAAGGCGGTAAAGGCCCGGGGACATAGTGGGAGAAAAACATTAGAGGTGATTCACAGGCATCGCATGGCACATCAACACATACCTCTTTCTCTAAGTCACTCACAAACGCCCCTTAATCTCTTTCACACAAACCCCTGCTCCACTGACATACACACTCTTGCATAAAAACACACACCTATTACCACACACACCCCCCCTTTAGTTCAGTGGGGGTTTAAGAAGGCTTGTGTGGATCAGTTCCCCATTAATCAGTACATGAGAGGGATTCTTCACGTGCAGTCCGGGTGCAGATTAAAAATCCTCCTCCAGGCACAATTTCCTGAATGAAAATCAAAATCCTTCTTTTATTCTCTCACAGAGACGTTTACCTAATGTGATATTACCATAATGTTTAAACAAGGATTCACAATGTGTTATAATAACATGTTGTAATTATATTTCCTCCCCCCTCTTGTGTTATAGTTGATGGAGTTGAGACTTAACAGCAGACAGTAAAGTGTTGTCTCATAAAAACACTGATAGGATCTACATACTTAGTGCCACCAGCCCCCATTAACCTGCATGAAGTGCTACACCTGCATCCACACCAGCACACAGGACTTTAAAATGCCTCTCGAAGGTACGACTGCAGGGCCGCGGGGCACGAGATAGTACACACACGTGTTACATGAAAAGAGAACAGTGGTGTTCAGACCTTTTTACCTCAGTAAAAATACTCGAGTATCAGTTAAAGTCCTGCATATCCAGAGGTGGGATTGTACTGTACTTAAGTCTTTAGATTTGTACGTTTACCGTTTACATTTTAACACAAATATCTGCTTTTTCTACTCAAAACAAGCTTTTACTTTAGTTTAAATGCCTTTGTATGGATTAATTGATGATTTATTTATTATAGAGAAACCAAAAGAGTACTTTTTTACTTTTACTTGAGTAAAGTACTTGAATCGGGTCTCATTTTTTACACAAATATCAGCTTTTTCTACTCAAAACAGGCTTTTACTTTATTTTAAATGCCTTTGGAGAGATGCATTGAATATTATTTATTACAGAGAAACCAAGAGAGTACTTTCTTTAACTTCTACTTGAGTAAAGTAGTTGAATCTTCTTCCACTTTTCACACAAATATCTGTACTCGAGTAAAGACTGTGTCTACTTTTGCCACCTCTGATTATATATATGACTGGATTATTATTATAATTTAAGCATAAACATGTAAGGAGGATGTTAATGTTGTAGCCTTATCAGGGTGGAGTGAGTATTATATATACGGTTGGATAGTTTAACCTACAATAATGCATCATTTTAGCACATTTTATGTAAAATATGAATGTGTGAAGTAACTATATGTTTAAAATAATAAAAACACACACAGTCTATGTACTTTTATTGCTACTTCCAGCTGTGGGAACTGAATAAGTACATTTACTCAAGTACCGTCCTTACTGTACTAGAGTATTCTCATTTTCTGCTACTCTATACATCTAATCTACTACATTTTAAAGGAAGATGTTGTACTTTTTACTCCACTGCATTGATTTGAAACAGCTGGAATTACTTTGTAGAATAAAGATTTTGTAAATAAAACATACCAAAAACTGTAAAATAAGCTTCACCTCCATCAGCTACAACACTAAAATGCTCATGTCATAATAATCCAGCCATATAAAATATGATAATATAATGTTCTATTCTCTATTTACTTGCTTTAAGCATATTTTGCTGCTACTTTGTACTTTTACATCAGAACACTTTGAATACTGGATTTTTACTTGTAATTAAGTATTTTTTGAAACTGTGGTTATTTTTAAATAAAATGTAATTAACTTGATACTAAATCATTAGTTCAAGTCAGCTCATGGTTTTATTGAATCAACTATTATGTAGGTTTGATTTCTTTTAATGGGTCAAATACTATGATGGGTGTAAATAGTACAACACTTCCCTCTAGTGGTATAAAATTACATTACTTATATTATATTTCACCATCAGTGCAAAGCAGTGATTTTTTTTACCTATTTGGATGGTTGATGAAAAGTGACACTGTGACACAAGACACTATAAATAACAATAAACAGTGCACATATACCTATAAGTGAAAAAATGAAAAAAATGCATAAATAAACTCACTTAAATACAATTAAACTAACATCAAAACAGTTTGACATTAAATTAATAAAACATAAATTGGATTAAAAACATTAAAAAGACAGTTTAACACGACTTTGCCTGCACATAAAAAGTTTTTAATGGACGATAAGTAAACACATTTATACGACGGAGTATTAGGGCCATACTAAGAGAAAAAAATATTTATTTTTTGGAGAAATTATGAGAATAAAGTCATAATACTACAAGAATAAAGTCATAATATTACGTAAATACTACATAACTTTATTCTCATAATATTACGACTTTATTCTCGTATTATTTCGACTTTATTCTCGTACACCTAATATTAAGACTTTATTCTCGTAACATTACGACTTTATTCTCGTAATATTATGACTTTAATCTTGTTATATTACGACTTTATTCTCGTATTATTATGACTTTAATCTCGTTATATTACGACTTTATTCTGGTAAT